GTAGGCCTGGGGTAGGGTGTAAGGTTCTGCCTTTCTTTTCTTTTCTGGGGCTCTTGCTAAGTTGCCTAGGCTGGCTTTGACTTTGAGATCCTCCCGCCTCAGACTCTCAAGTATCTGGGATTACAGTCCACCACCACATCTGACCATGAGGTTCTAAGTTTCCACTATGCTCTCAGGTGATGCCAATGACACTGGTCCAGGGACACACCTTTGAGTGGCAAAGTGTCAGAATGTACATTCCTTTCTGGAGGCATCCCCTCCCTCTTTGCAGTCCCAGAAACTAGTTATATAGTGCTTCAATTATACTTAGTGAATGAACATGCAGAAGTCAGTATACACTCATCAGATGTCAGACCATGGGCCCTTCCCGAGAGCCCATGACAGCACCCTACTCACCACCTGTCCAGTCTCCCCACCATTTCATGCCACACACGCTGCTTAGCCAAGGCAGTTCACCTTGCTAACTGCTCCCCAAAGTGTACATTACTCATGACCCTTCAGGTTACTTTGTAGCTGCTCCTCATCTGGTATGTGCTACCAATCTACGAAGAACCAATGGGTCTGGCAGTCAGCTTACTCTGATTGCTGCTGAGCAGCTTTTCTGATCAACCCTGTGCTGCTAAAATGGCTGTGTACTCTCTGTTGCACCTTCAGTGCCTTCGCAATTACACAGTGGGGGGGTCATCTGTATGCAGAGTTTTAGTTTTTCCATGTGTGCACGTTTTGCTTGCCTAAAAAGGACTGTGACACTTGAGAAAAGGGACCAGGATTTCTCTGTTTGGCACTCTATGGGCACCCAATGCTCTGTTGATTAGCAAACACTTACTGAGAAAATACAACTATCATCTTCTTATTCAGAAGTTAAAGTGTGTTTATGGATTACCTTTGTCATTAAAAAAAAAAACTCCCTGCCAATAACCTTTCCCCAAATCAGACAGTGGAAATAAATTTGAAATGGCTTTCTATTCATAGCAGAGAAAGCAAATGTTAGTTATTATATTGGCTACAGAGCTACCCTTTATCAGTTAAGAATTAGTTATGTGTTTAAAACTGAAACTAAAAACATAGGCAACAAAAGAACAAACTGGACTTTATTAAAAATACACACTTTTGTGCATCAAATGACAAAACCTAGAGAATGAAGACACTCCACAGAACGGGAGAAAATATTTGCAAATCAGAGCTGGTGATGATGATATGCTTGCTAGGCTGAGGCAGGAGAATCAAGAGCTAGAGACCAGCCTGTGCTACACAGCAGTCTTGTAAAACTAAAAAATATCTGTAAATCATGCTTTTGGTAAGGATTTAACATCCAGAATAAAGAACTCCTACAACTAAAAATGAATTTCCAGCTGGACACCAGTGGCTCATACCTGTAATCCTACTCAGGAAGCAGAGATCAGGAGGACTGCAGTTCAAAGCCAGCCCAGGCAAATAGTTCTGTGAGACCCTATCTTGAAAAAGCCCTTTGCAAAAATGGGCTGGCGGAGTGGCTCAAGGTATAGGCCCCGAGTTCAAGCCCCAGTACTGAAAAAAAAAAAAAAATTGCAAACATCCCATGAAGAACGGGCGAAGGACCTGAGCAGACACGTTTCCAAAGATGTGCACACGGCTACCAAGCACATGGAAAGGTATTTCACACCACTACTCAGGGAGGTGCAAAGCAAGCCCACAATGGAGTAGTACTTCCTAGCCCCTAGAGTTGCTCTGATTTAAAAAATGGAAAACGGTAAGCGTTGGCCAAGATGTGAAGAAACTGGAACCCTCACACATTGCTGATGGGAATTTAAAACAGTGCAGACATCATGGAAAATAGGTTGGCAACTCCTTGAAAAAGATAAACAGAATTATCGTATGCCCCAACAGCTCCACTCCTAGGTACAGAGGCAAAAGAACTGAAAATGGAAAGTCGTACACCAAGTTCACAGCTGCATTATTCACAACTACCAGATATAATTGGCATACACAATGGAATATTATTTAACCATAAACGGATTAAACGCTGATAGCTGCTACCAACAGGATGAACCTGGGAGACATAAACCCAATGCAAGGACAAATATGAGATTCTGCTTATGAAACATCTAGAATTAGCAAATTCACAGAGTGAAAACAGAGATGAATGGTTACTGGAGGCTGAAAGGAGCTGGGAGCAGAGACACTGCTTAATGGACAGACCATTTCAGTTTGTAGTGAAGAAGTTTGGATATGGATAGTGGTGATGTTCTATAACATTAAGAATATAATGCCTCTAAATTGCACACTTAAAAATGTCAAGTTACAATGGCGGCACACACTTACAATCCTAGCTATACTTGGAAGGTGGAGGCAGGAGGATCTGTAGTTAAAAGACCAGATTACAGAACATTAGCAAAACCCTATCTCTCCAAAAAAAAAAAAAAAAAAGCACAAAAAAGGGCTGGTGACATGGTTCAAGTGGCCTCAGCCCCAGTACCATTAAAAAAAAAAAAAGCCAGGCATGGTGGCTCATGCCTATAATCTATCTAGTTAGAAGGTAGAGATGGGGAAGACTGCAGTTTGAGGACAGCCCAGGCAAAAAGGTTTTGAGACCTCATCTCAACCAATAAAAGCTGGGTGTGGTGGAACCACACACCTGTCATGCCAGCTGTGAGGGAAGCGTAAATGAGGATCATGATCCAGGCCAGCTGGGCATAAATGTGAGCGCTTACTTGAAAAATAACTAAAGCAAAAAGGGCTGGGAGTGTAGTTCAAGTGGTAGAGTACTTGCCAGCAAGTGCAAGGCCCTGAGCTCAAACTCCATACTGCCAAAAAAAAAAACCCAAAAGGAAAGAAAAAAAAAGACTGAAGGAAGGGAGAGAGGAAAATTAGCCCTCTTTATTATGACCTGGGCCTACGTTCTGGACGCCATATATAAGCTGTATGATGTTGAACAAGTTATTTAATTTCTCTGGGTTTATCTTATAAAGATAATATCCACCTAACAGGGCCGTTGAGGACTCAGTAAGAGAATTAATCCCTTAGCACAGGATATTACATAATAAATACCAGGTAAATGGTAGATGTTCTTATTCAAAACCATTGCTACTCTGAGTAGGTGTCTGTAAAGCTGCTATACAAGGATGTCTAAAAGAACCCTATGATGTTCAGAAGACATTGTGAAATAAGACTAGAGCAATTTGCTTATCCTATAAACCTGGAAACTGGTGACCAGCAGTGTCAGTTCTCTTGGGGTATCACTGGATGTACAGAATAAAACAACACACCCACAAAATGAGAACTTACTTTGTGCATCACCACTTTCATTAAAGAGGTGAACTAAGAAATATGTGTTTTGGTTGTCTTCAATAACTTTTATTTTCTTTTTCCCCACATACTTGTTTTAAAAATTTGTAAGAGATTTAATTCCTTAGCAAATACCGCAGCTAAAGTCTTGTTTAGAGTCCCTAATTACCAACCTTGGCATCATAGTGTTCTCATACTAAAGCAGAGAACCAGAAAGAATATGCTGTCTAAAATGTCAAAACAACAGGAAATTCTAGTCATGAAAGTTTGGAGCAAACTGTTATCTTGCATAAATCCTGTGATATACCAATACCTACCTTGATTAAATTAGGCATAAAAGAAACAGCTCTAAGTAGTTGAAACTCAAATCTGAATTCTAAGCAGGGTTTACCAGAGAAAGATAATGCAAATACTCCAAAACTGTATCATAAATCTCATGTGAATTAAGCATTTTCATATTTCATCTCTTGTAGAAACTTCCCAAATTCCTTCAGAGAAGCAATCCACCTAACAAGGAGGCTTTTCATAATATACATAATTATCTGCATACAAGAGACTTGGATCCAGAGAGAAAAGAACAGCATGTGATACTGGAATGGTTCAGGGCATTCTAAGTTGGTCATGTTTGCACAACATTGTGAATGTAATTAAATGTCATGAAAATTACTCCATATTGATAACAAAAATTTTCATAACCCAATGTTTCCAAATTAAAACTAATTTCGAACATTGTATGTTTGAAAGCCAATACCCTTAGGAAAAAGTCTTTCCCTTCCCAACAACAAAAACCTATTTAAAAAGCAAGAACTCTTTAACATGCGAGCCTGAAACACACACCTGAGCTAATTTCATTAACCACAATTAACTGTTAACTCTCTGGACAATAATGGAGAATAGAGGCTTCCACAATTAAATTTAGAAAGAATCTTTTTGTCTCCCATGGCCCCCTTCCTCTACCCCAGTTAATCATGCCAGAAAGAAATAAAGAAGTTAGCATTCTTTTTCTAAACCTTTCTTTAGAAAGGTACAGCACTAAAGGTCCAGAGAACCTACTCCTCAAGGAAAATGATACTGCAGATAGCTAGCTGGAACCTCTGGTCATAAATTCCCAAAGCTAGGATTTCGTGCTGCTAAGGCCCATACTGGTAATGCCTGGCTGGTCATAAGCTGCACTGCCAAACAGCTTTAAAAAACTGGTTCACGATTATTACAGAGAAGAGAAAAATATTTATTACAATTTTAACAGGAGTGTGAAAAGTTTAATTAAAGCTAAACACTACGTACTGTGGTACCATTAGTGATGATGTCAATTAGAGGAAGAATCATTTTGACCCCAAATTTGACCTTAACTCAAGGCTGCTTCAAGTCCTTTCCTTTTATCTTCTTGCTTGAGTCATGTGCCACCAAGTAGTTACGCTGGGCCGTGAAATGCGCTTTAAGGCAGCGTTTTCATGGACTACTTTTCCAAGACTTTTACCGAGCCGTCAAACTACTTGTCCAGGACTCAGTCACAGAGTTCGGTGCCATGGACTGCAATGAGGCAACAGCTAAACGCCTTGAGTCCCTCGCCAAGACTCAGTGCCCAGGGCTCCAGGGCACTTTAAACGACAGGGCTAGCAATCCGCCGAAGGGTTAGCCTGTCCCATCCCCAATCCACTTAGAGCTCGGGCTGGGGTCCCCATGAAACCACGCTCCCTCCCTAGACGCGGTCCAAGTAAGCACCAAGCGCTGCCCACCCCGTCCAGCGGCCTCGCCACTTCCAGGGTCACCGAAGGGGAGGCAGAGCCCAGCTTATCCTCGGGCCGCACGGCAGGAGCGGGGTTAGGACTGCTGCTCGCTGTGAGGAGCGGTGCAAACTTTTCCAGCCCCGAGGCTGGGGCTGCGCTTCTCGACACGGGGGGGAATCTGCCCGGGCCACGGCAGCACCGTGGCCTCCGCCGCGGGCAGTGGCCGGGCTCGGCCGTTCCCCTCCTCCCGGCCGAGCGCCCGAAGCACGCGGCTTAAATGGCCACGCAGAAGCCAGCAGGGCAGCTGTCACCCGAAACTCCGCGCGGAGCCCGGCCAAGTCGGGGAGCGGGAAGGACGCGGGGCTCCGGCCCGGCCGCCGCGCCCCCTGCGCCGCCCCAGTCCTCCGTCCGGCGTCCCGGGCCGAGGCGGCGAGTCCAGGGCCCGGCGACCCCGCGCCGGCCGGAAGCGGAGCGCGAGTGACGTGGACGGGGCGGGGGGGGGGACGACAAAGGGGCGCGGGCCGGCGGCGCGGCCGCGGGGGTCGGGACAGGTGGCCGGGCCCGGCCGGGAAACAATGGGGGGCCGCGGCTGCCCCCTGGCGCTCACCTACCTCCGGTGCCCTCCGAGTTCTCGTTGAGGCTGCCCGAGGAGTCGTGCTGGGCGCCCACGCACCCGCCCATGGGGCCCGGCGCCGCGTCCGCCACCTCGGGCGCTCGTTCGGGCCGCCGCCGCCGCCGTCGCCGCCGCCTCTACCCCAGCCGGCGCCGCGCCGACCCCGGACAGCGCCGCCCCGCCGGCCCAGCCCCCGCCCCCGCCGCCCCGCCCACCGCCCTGGCTCGGCCCCTTCCTCCGCGCCCACTGGCGCCTCAGCCCCGGGCCGACCGCCCGGCAGGCCCGGCCCGCGCGCCGCCCTCGCCTCCGGCTCGGCCCCGCCAGGCCGGGGCTGGCCCATCCCGGGCGGGCCGCCGCGCCCGCTCGCCCCTCACAGCCCCGCACGCCCGCGTCCAGGCGAGCCCCGCGCTCGCGCCGCCCGTCCGCCAGGCCCCATCCACCCCCGCCCGCGGCGCCGCCCTCCGCACCCGCGCGCGGCCTGGGCTCGGCCGGCCCGCCCGGAACCACCGCGGAGGGGCGGGGCCGCGCCAAGCCGCGCTCTGATTGGCTGCGGGCGGAGGGGACGGCAGGGAGGGGGCGGGAGCGGAGTTTGGGGCATGAGCGAGCGAGCGAGCGAGCGTGCGAGCGTGCGGGTGGGGAGAACGGCGAGGAGAGCGAGGGGGAGAGAGAGGGAGAGCGAGCAGGAAGAGGAACAAAAGTGAGGAGGAGAGGGAAGGCCAACCCGAGCTCCTCCTCCTGCTCCTCGGGGGAGGCGGGTGGAAGGCCCGCGGCGGGGACCTCGTGCGGCTCGGGCGGTGGCACCTCGAGCCTCCCGCGGCCCCGCTGCGCCCCAGGCTGGGCAGCGGTCGCCGGTGGCAGCCGGGCGCCCGGGAGGCCGAGGATCGCGGACCCAGTTGGGGACGGCTGGGTCATCTTCCCGATGGTCGTTCAGGCTTTGGGTACCCCAGATCCCCTGAGGACGCGGGTGCAGCACCGTGCTCTTCTATGCGGCTCTTGGTGCGCCGGCCACGCCCGGCACTCTTGGCGGGACCGTCCCCATCTCAGCCCACCGTGAATGGTCCCTTTAGACTTGTGCCTGCCCTAAAATCTTCACCGCCCTGCCGAGGCCTTTCTAGAGCTTATTTCTGCCCAGGAGCTGTTTTAACTGTGTGCTCCACTTGCGTACCAGACTTTCTTTTTTCTTTCTTTCTTTCTTTTTTTTAAACCATCCTAGGTCAGCTTACCGTTAAAAATGATTAAAAATGATTCTTAAGTGAAATACCTAAGGAAAATGCCCCGCAGCTTGGGATTTGCATTTAGAAATATTCTCGCACACTGGCTGGTGGGAGTGCAAATTGGTTCAGTCTTTTTTGCAAAGCAGTTTTGCAACGCAGATCAAGAGCCTTAACATTTTTCGACTGGAATTATTCCACATCTGGGAATCTAGCTCACAGAGCTAGTCCAAAACAAAAAGATTTAGGTCCCTGTATTCATTCGAAATCAGGCAAAAGTGAAGGTTAGCCAAATAAAACCCTGAACTTACACGAGGACACCGAAAGGTCTCGTGAGAAACAAGCTGACCCTATCAGACTTACACTGAAGAATTAGCATCGTTCTTGGTTGTGGTCCTGAGCGTTGAAGAAGAGCTTATGTGCACTTGATGTTTTTATGACTTTTCAGAGGTTGCTCTGAGATAAGGAGTGGTGTCACAAAGCCTCTGTCTGGTTATCCTCAGCTGAATATTCATCACTTCCCCGAAGGAGAGAAGCTGCCTGCTGAATATTTGCAAAGAGATTGCTTTGTCCTGAATTGTGCTATAGAAATTGCAGAAACCAAGACTTCTACGACGTGTATTAAACAGATGGTAGGCACCCAGATGGTGAGTGCTTTCTGCTGAGCGGTGAGGAGCTGGCAAGAGCAGAGAGAGAGCAATCTCCAGGACAGATTCTCAGCCATGAGTTCTCTGCAATTTAGAGCAGAAGCATGTTCTCAGGAGCAGAGCCGGGTAGCAGCCGCCCAGCCCCAGCTCTGCTGTTAACTCCTGCTTGGAATCTGGCCTCCATCTTGTACTTGCTATATGGCCTGACATTTCTGTAGAGCCCAGTTTTGTTGCCTGTAAAATCGGGCCAATAATAATGCTCCAAGCTTGGCAGGGGACCCTTTAACTCTTCTACTTAGTTCATATGGAACCACCTACTGCATGGCCCATCCGCTTAACACCTGTAGGAACAAACGCCTTCTTTCTGTGAGTACATGTGCTTTTAAATTTTTACAAGTTCTTTACAGATATATGATTCACATACCATGCACGTCATCAATTTAAATGTATAATTCAGTGGGGGTTTGAAAAATATTTTCACAGTTCATCAGTTTTAGAATAAGACCCATACCTATCAGCAGTCACCCCATTTTCTTCCAATCCCAGTGCTTGACAAATCACAGATCTACTTTCCGTCCCTGTCTGTCTAGCTCTTGTGGATATTTCATGTGAATGCAGTCACATAACAGGTGAACTTTGTGACTAACTTCTGCCATATGGCCTATTTTTCGAGATTCGTGTTATAACACATAACAGTACTTCACTACTTTTTATGGTTGGTTACTGTCCCATTATGTGGATTTACCACATTTATTTGTCCTTTCTTCAGATGATGAGCATTTGGGTTGTTTCTCGTTTTGAGCTATTATGAGAAAAGCTGCTGTGAACGTTTGTGTACAGGTTTTTGTGTGAACATATGCTTTCGGTTGTCTTGGGTATATACCTAGGAATAGAAGCGCTTGGTCTATGGTAATGCTGTGTTTCACTTTCTGAAGAACTGACACTCCTACCAGCAGTATAGGAGGGTCCCAATTTCTCTGCATCCTTGCTAACACTTACATTGTCCATCTTTTATAGTAGACATCTTAGTGGAGTGTAGGGATCTCCCTGAGGTTTGGACTTGCATTTCCCTAAACTAATAATGTTGAACCTCTTTTCATGTACTTACAGACCATTTGTATATCCAGTGTTTGGAAAAATGTCTACTTAGATACCTTCTTCATTTTAAAATTGAATTATCTTTTTAAGTTGTAAAGGTTCTCAATGTAGTCCAGCTACAAATCTTTCAAGAGATCACGATCTGTGAAGATTTTCTTTAACAAAGATTTTGTTTTTGATGTAATCCACTCTACCTAACTTTTCTTTGGCTGCTTGGCTTTTGGCTTTTCTTTTTTAATATCTAAAAAAAAGAAAAAAAAACTCGTTTAATCCAAGGTCATGAAGATTTAGACCTATGTTTTCCTTAAGTTTTTTGTTTTAGCTGTTGTATTTAGGTCTTTGGTCTACTTTGAGTTAACTTTTTTTGATTTTTGTACTAAAATACATATCCATAAATGAGTTAGTTTTTCTATATGTATGAAGTAGGAGTCCAACTTAATTATTTGCATATTTTTCCAGGGTCCCAGCATTGTTTTTTGGAAAGATGTTCTTCACCCATTGAATTTTTTTGGCACCTTTGTGGAAAATCAATTGACCATACATATTAGACTCTCAATTTTTTTTTTTTTGAGACAGGGTCTCACCATGTAGCCCAGGCTGTGTTGAGTTTCCCTGAGTGTGGGGTTATAGGCATGCCCCAGGAGTAGCCTGGACTCTCACTTTTATCTCCTTGATCTCTCTGACTTTAACCATAAGGTCTGAAGTTTGGTAGTGTGAATTCTCCAACTATTTTTTTTTTTTTTGAGATGAGGACTTTGGGTCTTACTATCTTGCCAGACTGGCCTCAGACTCCTGGGCTTGAAGTGATCCTTTTGCCTTGGCTTTCAGAGAAGCTGGGACTACCTGAGTTGGCCACCATACCTGGCTTGTTCTTTTTCAAGATTGTTTGGGTTATTCTGGGCCGCTCATATTTCTATAGGAATTTTAGAATCAGCTTGTTCTAAAGCCTGGATTTTAATGGGAAATGTGTTGAATCTGTAGATCAATTTGGTGAGTTTTGCCATCTTAACAATGCTAAGCTTTTGAATAAAGGATCATGGATGTTTTCCCACTTATTATTAAATTCCTTTCAATATTTTGTGCCTTTCAGTGTGAAGACTTGCACTTTTGTTAAGTTTGTTTTTCTTTGTCTCTTCTCTTCCCCTTATCTCCCCTCCCCTCTTGTCTCTATTATTAGGGGCTGAACCCAGGGCTCTCCCATTTAAGCCATGCCTCTAGCCCTGTTAAATTTATTCCTAAATTTTCAGTAGTTCTCATGGTTTTGCCTTGTGGATTTGGGGGCATCTGTGTTGTGTTGGGTTAATATTGCTAAATCCCTAGAGCCTGCTTTACCTGACCAATTCTCCAGGGAGAATCGTCAAGGGGGTAAAGGAAAGAGAAGAAATGGGAAGAAGGGAGCAAAGGAGGAGAATGAGCTCCTGTACTGCCAATGCTAGCATCGAGTTCAGTCACCAGAGCACCTTGTTAAAAGCAGTTTTTCCCAAGACTCTAAATCTGGAGCAGATCCCAGGAATCAGTGTTTTAAACTCACACATCAGGCATTTTTTTTTTTTGCTGAAGCTTGGTCCATGGATGAAATCTTTGACCAGAACAAAATCTAATCCTTTACTATCCATGCAAAAATGTTTTTGCTTTGGCCCTTTTTTTTTTTTAATCCACCAATAGTACTGCAGTCCATCCAGTAACCCAGGAGTTACTGGTGATTTCCCCTTCCAACTCACTTCCCACCTGGGAAATGGATGTTGAAGTCTCTTGTTCTCCCATCCAAGTACTAACCAGGCCTGACCCTGCTTAGCTTCCGAGATCAGAAGACATCAGGTGCATTTAAGGTGGTAGAGCTGTAGACTGGTTCTGCCACTGCTGATACCCCATCGCTCACCTCTGCTCCTATGATGCCTTC